CTTTGGCTCGCCTCTGCTTCCCTGCACCAGTTTCTCAATTCTCCTGAAGGGTTTCATCTAGGTGTGAGGGTAGAGAAGTGTTTAAATTCTACTGTGGAAAGAAGGGGGGGGGGGCGGAATTCCCTCTTATGGCAAGTTAGAAATAGCCCAAGCTTTTCCAAAGGGATGTTTAAATTGGACTTAATGGAGCAATATCTCCACTTTTTTTTTTTTTTTCCAGCTATGAGTCCTGAATCCTTTCATTAAACTGACATGGATTTCCAGAGATGGGGAAAAGGAGGGGTATCTGGGGTGGACATTTTATGTAAATGAGCAAATCCGAAATGTATTACAAATCCACTGTAATAAAACTGACAGTTTTGACAGTATTGACAACATAAATATATGTTGGAACACAGCACTTTCAGACACTTAACCGATGAAGCAATAAAAAGATTCGACTACAATATTTCAAATAATCGACATTGATGTTTTGATACATCATTTTTATACCTCGAATCGATCTATCACTCTGTGACCGGTCAATTTTAAGTAAAAATCTGCTGCAATTATTTACGCTATTGCCAATGACGACCTAATAACTGTTTTCAATTAATTACAGCAAAACTAAGCATTATGAGGACTAACCGGCCGTATATTCCATTGTACGGTCCCTTGCATTTCTTGTATGGAGAGCAAACACATATATGTGTATCGCATTCTCTTTGTGGGATCAAAAGAAAGGCGTACAAAGGCGATCACGATCTTTTTTTGGGGGGGGGGCGGGAATCACCACCTCTCTTTCGGGAACACACCGCCGGCTCTCATCACGTACTTCTAGGAAACACGCTATAATATTTTGTCAGCTCTTTCTCTATGCAACGCCAAATCGGGCTCCTGAGATTTTTTTTTTTCTATCTCTTTTCTCCTTTTCTCTCTGGGCTGCGCGCTGAATCCCACTTCAAACAATGGGCCGAGGGGCTCTCGCAAAAAAAAAAAAAAAGGGGGGGGGGGAGAAGATTCGTGCTTCGAGTGATCGCCTGTGTGTTGTGAGAGTCTCCGTATCATTTCAAAAGAGGTAGGAGGATATTGTTCTCTCCGGACCGAGAACTCCAGTGTAAAAATGAGAGCGCTCCTCTTCTGGAGTTTTATAGGCAGCTGGAGAACAAAAGTGAATATTTTGAGTGAGGGAGAACAGAGAGCTCTGAGCAGACTTTGGAGCCTTCTCGGATGCTCTGATATTGCACTAAAGCGATTTACTGTGCCCTAACTGTCCTTTTTGTTACGATGTCACATTGGAAAGATGGATTTTGTTAATGCTTCGGGCTTCTTCGAACAAATGCAAACTAGATTTTTAACTACCCTGGTGGAAGCAGCCTGCGCGGCGTTAGCGGGAAGCCCTGACAGGTATTTTTCTCTTTCTGGTTTTATGATGGAAATGCGCACGTTGGCTGTTTATGGTCTTCGCTTTTACAAACCTCCCAGCCTAAGACATTAA